CCCTGGTTGTTACCAATCCAATGGCGGCTAGCGTTTGGTGGCGATTCTACAAATCTTCCTTCACACCACTCTACGCATAACGTTACTGAGTTTTTGCTCGAGGCGGTAACTGTCGTGACTTCATAACTTGTCCTCGTAAACGAGGACCGGTGTTCATATGTGCCAGGATCCGATTTCCCTTAGCTAAGCCTGCTATTCGTGCTGTTCACGCTGCTATACTATGGAAGGTCTAGGACGTTGGTGTGAGATCTCGGTTTTACCAAGTGGAATACTCCAGCTTCTCAAAATTGTGTTTCCGTCGTCTGAGTTTGTCGCAGGGAGTGTCATCCTGCCGTACCTACCTTCACAGGTTTGGGTGTGTCCCCTGGTTAGGGGGGTTGGTTTGGTCTTGGAGGTGTCCAGGTTTCGTTTTAATCTCAACCCCTCGTTTAGAAATTCGCCGCTTGTGCACCAATCCTAGGTGCCTCAAGCCAACCCAAGTGTACAGTAATACGGTAGAAAATACCAGATGCGGGTTCCCAAAGCTCTGATAGTAGATATGGGTGAAAAGTGCTCACCTTGAAAATCTCCAAGGCTACCCATGCGGGAAAGTAGGAATTGCCTTAGAACCTTACTCAACCAATGTGTATACTTATTTGAGCTTTCTCAAACGTAGAGCACGTGATGAAGATGCACTCATCAACCTTGTGATAATGACACTGGTCCTCGTCGGTAGTCCCGAGGAGGAACCAGGTTCTTACAGGCTGAACCAGAGCAGTTTGCACATATGCGGTTAGATGCTAGCTAGAATAGCAGCTCGAGGCATCAATCATACAATGAGATAGTGTTTCCTGATACTCTTCAGGTTTCGATTATCAAATCCGTACAGGCGAACGTTTCGCGTCACAAGCCAGCCAAGGTTAGCGAGAGTCCGGGCACACACAAAGAGCAACAAATCATTCGACGAATGCTACGGAAAAGAATTCATGAACATGAACGTCGCCTCGCGTAGATCAGCCCGCCGTTGGCTATGGCTAGTCCTACCTCATACATCACGGCCGTTCGTCGATCAGATTTTCAGATTTATGTCCTTCGAGGCATCTCAAACGCACCGAATCGCATCGCGATCTTACGTTCCTTCCTTACCAAGCCTCGATCGGCTCGGATCCAATCAAAATGAACTTGCACGAAACGCGTCTTTTCAATTCCGCAACCCAGGTTGAAGCTTGGAGGCGCCTCGAGAGACCTTATCATCCCACGTCCGAAGCTTCGCGGCATGGTCTGCCGTTGGTGTGTCTTCCAGGCCGGCAAATGCAGAAGCTTCCATGACGCCAAAGATTGCTATCTCTAAGTCGAAATCGTTTTCCAGAAGCAAGCATCTAGTAGCAGTGCAAGCGGACCTTGAAACGCGTACAGTGAAGGACGAGGTGAGGGATGGGGGAGGACATCCCAAAATGTGTGAGGTCGGGGTGGCATGTTTTTTAGGGTTTGCGAGAGAGTAACTTTCCAGAACCTACGTGCATGTTCCTTTTCTGGTACCGCGACTCGTGAATCAGAGGGGTGCAGCATCACCGAAATTTTGACGCCACCCTCGCGAGCGATATAATTGGTCGAACCATTTCGTATTCTTCCAGGAAATTTCTGCAAAACAATTCGAGCGATTGCTATTGGTCGTTCGATTCAAACTTACTGCCCTGTAAGAATGGGAGGGTTTCGATGTACTTCCAGGAAGCAGCTGGTAGCGAGGGTTTGGCACACAACTGAGTGGGCTTGATCCGCTAAAGATATTCTCCGTTACAGTTTTCAAAGAAATTAATTGATGGAAATCGTTTGTGTAATCTGCCTTTGAGTTGTAAACAGCTTTGAATGTTTATACATGCATTTTTAGGTACTATTTGGCACCCAACTATTCCAGTAGTTTGAATCACATGTGTAACAAGAGCAGTTGTTTGTTGTGATCAATGAGACGTTAAATTCGCTACAAAAAAGTTTTACCAACACCTAATTGCATAAGATATCAGCTCACCATGCTGTTTCAACGCTGTGTTTCTTTGTTTTGCAAGGGGTATTTGCGTCACTTTGTCACAAACGATATCAAAAGGGTGTCAACCTAAATCTATATCTGTCGCATGACGGCAAACGATGTCGTTTCAACGTTGCGTAGCTTTTTTTTTTTTCTAATGTTTCTTTATACCATACCACTCAGTTAATAATGAAATGAGAAGGGTCTGAACCCATTTAGGTGTCATTCTCATTACACCATTATGAGTGACGCTGTAATGATCATCAAATGAGGTAAAACCGTCCGAGTAGAGACATGGATGTCACATGATGAAGTTTCAAGTTTTTTTGAAAGTTTGCAAATGACTTTAGTTTTTAGCCATTTGGTTGACTTGGCCTAGGGGAGGCTGGAAAACCATATTTTAATTGATTTTAAACATAAATGTGGTGGTTACAAGCCCATTTGCGTGCATTTGGGGCAAAAAAAAGCCCAAGTAGAGTGTTTCAATCCTCAATAAGATGTATTAAGGTATTTTTAGCATAATTATAGGGGTTTCATACATATAAAACACAAAACATCAAAATTGACAAGCCAAATATTTCGTTGCCAGTTTTGACGTATATTTCCATAAGATTCTGTAATGTAATATTTTTAAGCAACCAGGTTGTATGAAAGTTAGTGTTCAACTGCATCTGACACTCACGCAATTTGCGTTCTTCTCGTCCTATTCTGAGGAAGAGGAACAGCAAAGCGTAGGTGTTTGACAAGTGGGAAATGCTGTCACTATGGGACCGGTTTTCGATTTTCAGTGCGGCGGATGTACAACTGGCTGCCAGCAACGACATGTGTGGGACTGTACACTAACAGGAGGGTGACTTGTCACTTGTATTATTTTATTCCCAGATTTTTTGCAACTGTTCTGGTATCCTTCCGTTAAAGAGAATGTTTGGAAAATTGTGTTGCTGTTTCTGGGTAAAGAGCGATATGACAGCACTGTAGAGAGATAAACAACGTTACGGGCAGATAGAAGGTACCTTGAGTTTTGGTCATTTCAGGATGTGACAGGCGCGTCGCTTGTCGCGTGCTGCACAGTTGCTGCAACCTGTGCTTTCGCGGGATTCGACTCGATTCTCGAATTTGTCGCATTTGAGCGTTTTGCTGCACGCGCGATTGTTGGCTGACGCTTTGATTTTTTTTTTCCCCACCAGATTCCACTGTACTTCATTCCACCGTGCATTGCACCTCTGCTTTTCTCGAAACCAGTACTTGTTTCTTCCCAGCACAGTTGTGAAAAAATGGTTTGAACGTGAAACAAACCACGAAACGACAAAACGACAGCAATGCAAGGCATTGCGCTCAACTGCCCCAAGCCACAGTCATTCCTTGACGACAGAGAGCCATCTTTTGCTCCCTCTTCCTCTAGATTTACACCCGTGGTTTTCAATCAGCTTGCTTTTGGTGTTCGATGGCTGTGTCTCTGGTCCTCAGTCTTCAGTCTCCTGCTTCTATTATTTCGCCCTTGCTGCCAAATGTTGGTCTTCGTGCGCAACATTGACAGTGTGTGAACCGATGCGAAGGTGTTTGCAGATGATTCTGGAAGTTTGCTGAGAGGTGCGCTAGTAAGTTATTGGTATTTCATCTTTGTTTGAAATTTCCGTATCAAGCATTCTTGCTGTTCCTATTGGCCCTTCTGTGACGCCGACGTCCTATGCGTCGTACCTGTTCAATGCTTCGGCCCGTATTTTCAGCGTTTTCTGCCTCTTTGCGACGGGTCTGATTGCCTTTGTTGTTTCCTGCTTTGCCGATTCTCGTTTTTTCGTTAACCCTTCTTCGCGTTCCCTTCTAGTCCCCATTCTATTCAGAAAGCGTCGCCACGCTTCTACAACATTTCATTGTCGGAACTCCCTCGACTGCACCTCGTCGCGTAAATGCGTGCGGACGATGATTCGCCGCAGCCATGTCCTCTCGTGCCTTCAGCTCTGCCGCCGAGAGTGGCGGCGAGAGATGCGTATCTGCCGCCGGGAGTGGCGATGACGATAACATGTTATGACTCGTTCATTCTTGCTGCCCCCCAGAAACATACCTCTTTTTTTTTTATGCTAGCGCTACTGCTACCGAGTGCGACTGCACCATCTCTAGTTTTCTCTCCCATGCTCCAGACTACCCCCCATGATTTCCCCTCCTGTGCCTACGGTTTTCCCCCACACCCTCACGCTTCTGTTTTCTCCCTTCTGTTTTTCCTCACCCTTCTGTTTTCTCCCAGTACAATCATTCATCCAGAAGGCTAGACAGGAATACCTTCGCAAGGTTGTGCAAGCTAGGCTGGTGTGATTCGTGTTTTATGTCAAATAACCGTTTGCCTATGTAATCCCATTGTTGGGCTTATTGGTGCAGCACATGTAAAATTGTTATATTGCATTGTGATTCATAATTTTGGGTTGCAAATTTCTTTTAATGTCAATTTTTAATCCTCATAATTTTATGAGAATCTGTAAAATAATTATTTATTTGACCCAGAAATATACACTTGATATGCAGGCTATTTGATTTGTGTACACTAAAACTATTTAATATTATATGTTACTGTCACATGGTTTAAGCAACAAAAAACAAAGTCTTTGTTTATCGGCATCAGAAAAAGAAAGGTACGGTTAAAGTCTATCACATTTATTCATTCATTGCATCGACGAATTAGAACATACCACATGCATGAATTTCACTCGGTTCCAATCTACGCGGGAAACCTACAATGCCAAATCTCGAATCGCAGCTTCCCAGACCAAATCAATCAGCATCGAGAATGACGAGTTGCGATTGGTCAAACCAGTTCATAGTTACGAGGGGGTAAATTTTCCTTGGCACGTAGATGTGGGGCTGCGATTGGGCGACAACAATCTCGAAGAAGTTTCCATCGGGCCAATTCCAACCAAAGTTACTACCAGGAATGTTGGCCACAATCTTTGAAGTATGTATTCAAAAGATTACCGAGAAGTTACCCAACAGTTGCTCCTACGTAAGAATGGAAACCAGCACATTTTGGGATGGAGGTCAGAGGAGCATCATGAAAGTGGAAGGGGGAGAAAAGGGAGGAGGGGATGAGAGGGTAGAGAGTGTAGTAGCGGGGAATGGAGCGGGGAATGCAGGGGGGAAGAGTGAGGGAGGCAAGAGGAAGAGCTTTGGGACGGAAGGCTGCAAGGAGGAGGAGGAGGAGGAGGTAGTGGCAGTGATTGCTCGAGTGCTGAGGGAGAAATTCGGGCCTCAGATTGTGAGAGAGGAGTTGGAGGAGTGGGGGAATGGGATAAGAAGCAGCAAGTACGAGAGGGTAGGGAAAGTGAAAGAGGAGGAGGAGGAGGAGGAGGAGGATGAGGAGGAGGAGGAGGAGGAGGAGGAGGAGGAGGAGGAGGAGGAGGGGGACGATGAGGAGGAGGAGGAGGAGGAAGAGGAGGAGGAGGAGGAAGCAGAAGAAGAAGCGAATGAGGAGGACGTATCACCCACCACATCTCCTCCCACACCCCCTCCTCCACTCAAAAGCCGGCGGGTCGTATCTCCCTCCTCCCTCCTCTCCCTCTACCGCTTCTTCTCCTCCCACCTCGGCATCTCCTCCACTTCCACTTTTGCTTCGCTCCTCGCATCTAAGCCCGAACTCCTCCGCTCCGATTCCACCAATTACTTGCTGCCACGTGTCCGTCTCCTCCAGTCATACGACATTTCAAATGCTGACATCGCGCACATGCCTTTGAGAAATCCAGCCTGGCTCCGCTCCCCCCTGCCACGGATTCGGAATATGCTTGAGTTTCTTTTAGCTAAAGGCGTTCGTCGTAGCAGATTGGGCTCGGTGCTCCAACGTGGAGATAACTTACTCCGCCGTGAGGCACGTTCAATGAACCTGGACATTATGGTGGAAAAGGCAGGAGTTCTTGTGGATAAGCTGGGTATGATTTTAGAGGGATGTCATTCCATCTTGACTCGGAGAAATGAGGTGGTGAGTATACAGCTTCAGAAATTATCACTTTATTTTAGAGCAAGACATGGAGGGAAGGTAGAAGCATGTAGCACCAGTACAGCACTCCTGAAGCAACAACTAGATGAGTCAAGGTCCTTCACTTCTCTACACACCCCCTCCATTGCGGCCTCTGTGCTTTGGCGGGCCCCCACCATCTTCAATCTTAGCACAGAAACTCTTATAGCTAAACTCCAGTTCCTTGTGGAGATGGTGGGGGAGGAGGCAACAGGAAGAGTGGTGAGGAGTTACCCTTGGGTTCTGCAATTATCAAAGGAGAACGTGCAAGGCAAGGTGGCGGTATTGGCTGATTTGATTGGCCGAGAGAGTGTTGTGCGTGTGGTGGCACAATCTCCTTTGCTAATCGCTTCTAGTGAAGATGGCATGAAGAAAAAATTTAGAGAGCTTGTGCGAGAAGTGGAAGAGGCATTGGACACCAGTGGAGAAGAGGGAAGTGGGATGCAAAGGTTGGGGGAAGGTGATAGAGGTAATTGTTTGGGAGGGGAAAGTTATTCGCAAGCACTAAGTGTCAAGAGATGCAGGGCTCGTCGGTTGGTTGTGGATTTGGTTGTGAGGTACCCGCCGTCTATCAATTACTGGTGGAAAACGAACATCAAGCCCAAGGTGGAGCACTTAAAACGGGACATGGGGCTCTCCATAATGGAGGTGCTTGCTTACCCAACATTTCTTTCGTACAGTTTGGATCGGCGAATCAGACCGCGGCATGTGGCACTAGTGCGAATGGGCTATGCGGTTGTGGCACATGAGATGGCTATTCGGACGAGTGTTGGGGACAAGAGGGGTGTTTCAATAGAAGCTGGGAAACAGAGGAACAAGCTGGGATCTGTGTCTGACAAAGTGGAGGGGGTAGAGGGGATTGAATGGGGAGCGGAAGAAGGGAAGAGTGGGCCGTTGTTGGGGGTTGTCGTTGGCAATAGTGAGCCAGGGGAGAGAGTTGTTACAGAGCGGCTGCTTCTGGACTTGGAGGGGTCAAAGAAAATGGTGTGCGTGCAGCAGTTTCTCTAATGTACAGACAAGAAGTTTGAGGAGAACTTTGGGGTCAAAGTGTAGGGCTGGTGCTGATATACGCTTCTTCGGCTTCCAGTGTCCCCCGGGCCTATGAGTCCATGCCTGAGTGTGAGGGTGTGTGCCAGTGCATGAGTGTGAGGGCGTGTGCCAATGCCTGAGTGTGAGGGTGTGTGCCAATGCCTGAGTGTGAGGGTGTATGCCAATGCCTGAGTGTGAGGGTGTGTGCTAATGCCTGAGTCTGTGCCTCCACACTGTGAAACTAAATCTGTCAGGCGGCCAGGTGTGAGTGCCACAACATTATTGCTGGGTCCTTCGTTGCCGCCCGATGGGACCGGAGAGGATGTGGCTGCTACAGCTGCCTCTGCTACAGCTATTTCTGCTACAGCTGCCACGGCCATCCCCTTGCTGGACCTGCTACAGCTGTTCCTGTCAACGGGAGTTGTGGTTGGCCCCGTCCGCGCTTGGGCGGAGCCGACTTCGTAGTCGGGTGTGTGGGGAGCGCAGCTGATCTGTTGCAGTGAGGGCGCCTAGCTGGAGGGCGCCGAGCAGGAGGACGCCGACCTGGGCGCCTGGACGGCGTCCTGGGAGGCTGGACGCCGACCTGGGCGCCTGGACGGCGTCCTGGGAGGCTGGACGCCGACCTGGGCGCCTGGACGGCGTCCTGGGAGGCTGGACGCCGACCTGGGCGCCTGGACGACGTCATGGGAGGATGGACGCCAACATAGGCGTCTGGACGGCATCGTGGGCGCCTGGACGCCGACCTGGGATGTCTGGACGGCGCCCTGGGTGACTGGACGCCGACCTGGGCGTCTGCACGGTGTCCTGAGCACCTGGACGCCGACCTAAGCATCAGGACGCCGACCTGGGTGCTGGGATACCTCTTCTAGGGACGCCGATCAGGTGTAGCCGGCGACCAACTGAGCTGGGCGACCAGGCGTGGTTGCCCAGTCAACCTGGATACCCGGGCGACGAGTGCGAAGGTCGCCGGGGAGGCTTCTGCGAGGCCGACCTCGGAAGTGGTATCCCGAGGTCGACGTGGCCGGTAGGCGCAGTCTGCGCTGTGCACGTGAAAAGGAGTGGTGCACCAACCAGCTGCACGCACCTGCGAAGCAGGTGCACCGTTGTCCTGCGGGTGCAACGCTGTGCAGCCGACTTGCTGCAGCGTTGGCACACTGTGGACTTGCAACGTTGGCAAACCGCTACTCTGCAACGCTGGAGCGGTGCGAGTACTGCTGCGCTGGATCGCGGTCGACCATGCTGCGCTGGAGGTCGACCAGCAGCCTAGCTAGCTCTGATGTAGTCTGTGTTGCCAATGTTGTATCAACCATTGTTGTGAACTTTTCATAGTGGAACTCTTGCCAATTCTCCCCGTGAACTAGCAAGTAGTGTGAGCAGTTGGAAACGACTAAGGAACGAACGAACGCAGAGATCACCCTTGCCCCGTGCCTAGCCCGTAGTCTAGCTCCCGTTGTACTAGTTATCTCCGCAGTTCCTGTGGGTGGCGGTGTCGCCGGCTGTAGCAGAGGAGTTGCTGTTCAAAGGGCTGCTGCTCACGTCGCTGCAAGAGAGGCTCGGCAGGTGAGAGGCAGTTGGTGAGGGGCTCGGAAGTTGAGGTTTGGCAAGGCCGTGCCTCCTCCACCTGCTGCCTTTTCTTTTTGGGTTTGGTAATTTCCACACCTCCCCACGCACACACTCTTTCTCAGCAATCCAATTCCACTTTCTCCCTTGCCTGTCATGGTACATTACATGTTAGATTTGAAATCGATGTATGTCAACGTGAATCATGCTAGTCAACTCAAGTAGCCAGCCTGCTCATCGTCTACTCCAATAATGTGCTGCCTACTGCCCCCCTGCATACTACTTACTGTACTATAATGCGTCTGCCCTTCTGTTTAGCAAGGAAGTGCTAGTCTTCTTGTGGATGTCTTTCAATATGTTCTGGAGTACATTGCACAGAAAAATGTATGTCATTATGTCAGAAGATAAGGATGTTCAATCAACACTCAAGCTAGCTTGAATTCTTTTATTTCTATTAGAAGTAATTTCTGGAAACTACCATGTTCCTCACTGCCGTGTTCCTCACTGCCGTCTTCCCCACTGACGTGTTCCCCACTGACGTGTTCCCCACTGCCGTGTTCCCCACTGCCGTGTTCCCCACTGCCATGTTCCCCAGTGCCGTGTTCCGCACTGCCAGTTTCCCCACTGTCGTGCTCCCCACTTCCCTTGGGCCTTCTATTCCCATGTTCCCCGCTGCCGTGTTCCCCACTGCCTTGTTCCTCACTTCCCTTGGACCCTCCATTAGTAATTCATTTTCTGCTCTGCCCTCGCACTCCCCTTGGCTGTCCTGTTACGTGGCGATGGGCGGGGCAGGGTGACTTTGTGGATCGCGGGTACAACAGCATCGATGTCTTCACCGTCCTCATGCTGCTCAGCGCCAGGTGCGCTGAACGTCAGGTGCGCTCAACGCCAGGTGCGCTCAAGGCCAGGTGAGAGCAGGTGTGGTGAAAGCCAGGTGCTGGGAGGTTAAGGAGAGGGGCAAGTGGTAGAGCAGGTTGGATAAAGTGGGAGATGAAAGAAGAGGTTGGATGGAGGGCAAGGTGGGGTGAAGGTGCAGGTGATTGGGCAGGTGCTTCAGAGGAGCAGACAGCACGGTGGGCTTCATGCAGGGAAGGGAGCAGGGATGGTGATTGTTAGTATGAGTCTCAGCTGTGGATGTGCTATGTAGTTTGTGTGGGCTTCCGTTGCTGTCCCGTGCTGTCTTGTGTGCTGCTGTCTTCCGGTTTGGTTTTATTCTCTCTTGATTCATGCACCCTAAGCTCCTTCTCATGCTGTACTTGTACAGGTGCCTCTCTCTTTCACACACATGCCCCACTTGTTGTGTGCCCATGTGCCTGTGTGCCACCACAGGTACCCAGCGCATATGACGCTGCTAGGAGGCAACAATGAGAGTCGCCAAATCACACAGGTGCTTGCCCTCTCTGTCCCCATTCTGTCTCCTTCCAGTGTATCACTTTGCACGCCCCTTCACCCTTCACTCCCCTCTTGATAAGAAGGGGAACGAGGAAGCACCACGTGCTTGGTTGTATAAAATTCTTATTTACCACTCCTTGCTCCTTGTTGTTGGTGCAACCCTACGGTTTGCATTCGGCTTGTTGTCCGTGTGCGTGCATGCGTGTGTGCATGGAATGGTATGAGGGCATGAAATAATATATATTTCATGCTTACAATAGTGTGTGAATGATGAGGCATGATTTTGAATGTGTGTGTCGAGTCAATAGCGAGTTATCGCTAGTCGTGTGTCACGTCGTCGTTTGCGTGTCGTGTGCGGTTTTCTATTTTGTCGTGTGTGGAACGTTCGGCGTGTCGCAGGTGTGCGCAGCAGACTTCCAAGAACTCAAGGAAGAATTTACCTTGAAGAACCAGAGCCTTGGTTTCAAGAATCAAGTGATTTCGAAGCTCTCCAAAAGGGTAAACTTTAAGATAGAGAGAATAGTTGCATTACTTTGTGTAGTGTAACATTTCTCTTGGTGTAGGCCCTTCTGGAGGGTAGTTTCGAGACCCTTCGTGGTTGGGGACAGTGTGGCACTGTTCCACATCGCTGTACCTCGGATCTTGGGGTTTGTAGGAGCTGGGAGTCATTCCCAACTCGTAACTCTTCCTATCTTGTGTTCTAAGACTATAGTGGCTGCCATAGTACCGTTCGTTCAAACCGACGCTGTGTCGTCAATTCTTTATCAAATCGTGCAATCTAAATTGTTAATTGTAGACGACGTGAAGACGCTCCAGATCCAATTTGAATCAAGTCATTTGCAGCTGTGAGCAGAACGCTATCAACGTTTGAAGCCGCTATGCAGA